CCTCAACTTTGGGAGGAGAGCGGTCTGGCTCTGAAACTTGCCAAGAAAAGACTGCTCACCCCCTATCCACCCCTTCTGGTTCACACTTCATGGTCCCCACCTCCCTTCCCTGCCTCAGACTCCTATACCTTTTAAAATTCCCCTCCCCTTCCTTTTTCTCTTCTTTCTTGTAGCCTGCAAAACATTCCAATTGACAAAAGAGGTGCAAATACAACTGTGGGTTTTTTAGCCATTTGAGAGTAAGTTGTGACATGGTGCCCCATCACTCCTGAACACATGAATGCACATGGCTACAAACAAGGACATTTTCTTATATAAACACAGGGCAACCATTGAAGTCAGAAGGGTAATGTGAATACCTCATCATTATCCAGTGCTCAGATCCTCATCACATCCTGCCGGTTGTTACCATCACACCCACAGCAAAGGGACTCAGTTCTGGGCACGCGCTGCATTTGTCAACGAGTCTCTCTTTACTCCAGGCTGGGACAGACTCTCCTCCATCTGGTGGCCTTCGACCACAGGCCGTGTTCTGTGGATGCCCCTCGGTTGGGCTGTGTGTGTGGCTCTTCCTCGGCGACGCACCTGCGGGAGCAGCAGCCCACGCTGGTTCTCCTTGTGCACTGGCAGGAGCATGCGGTTTGGGTTTCCTGGTTCCTGACAGCATTGACTTTGACCATGTGGTTCAGGCGATGTCTGCCAGGCTTCTTCATGGTCAAGTTGCTCTTTCCCCCTTCATAGTCAGTAAGGTTTTCTGGGACAGGTACTTAGAAACCATGTAAATATTTCATTCCTCATCATTCATTTCCCATTTTATTCAATAGGCTGTATCTACTATTGTCAGTACTTACTTTGATTCTCAAATTGTCCCTGATTTGGTCACTGGAGCATCTTCAAGCTGGTTTCTAAATCCCTTTCACATGCCTCCTTCACTTCCTGTGAGCGTTCTCGTTTTCTGGCACCGATGTTTCAGGCTCACCTCGTACTTTCCACGCCGCTGTTCCAGAACCAGCCTTCTCTCCAAGCCTTGATTCCACTTAGTGGACAGTGGCATTTAGAAATGAGGACTCGGGGCGAGGTGTGCTTCCTGACTTCAGGGTGCGGATGCTCCCAGGCTGTCTCAGAAGAAAGAACTAGTGTGTGTGTGTGTGTGTGTGTGTGTGT